AGAGAAGCGAATGAATAAATGAAGTGATCGTGTCGTCAGGCGTCACGTTAATCGACTCATTAAATTATTAGAGATCTACTTATACCGCGTTTACAAAGATAGGTTAGCGAAAAAAGGAGGAAAAGAGTAAGAAAAAAAAAAAATAACCACGACGATGCGATCGTCCGCTGATAATCATATTTTTACCGTTGTTCTTTTTTTATCGATATTATTATTATCCTCGTTGTTCTCTTTTTTCTTTTCTTCTGTCTCTTCTCGTTCGTCGCGACTGCGTTAAAAAGGTACGGAAGAAAGGAAGGAAGAAAGAGGGAAGGAAAAATGGAGAAAAAACGAAGGAAGCAGGTTGTTCGAAAAAGAAGAGGAATCCGCCGTGATTCACGAGTATTATAATTGTTACGATATACGCGCGTGCATCCCGCGCCGCGACGATCGTTCGTGATATACATCCCGATCTTTTTTAGATCCGCTCGTCTCTCTCTCCTTGGACGATTTTAGCGGGCTCCGATCTCGCGGCAGACCTCGCGCCTTTTTTCGCCATCGCCCCGCCTCTCGGAGCGACGGTGTGAAAATTACGCGGGAAATCGCGTCCGATCGCCGTGCAGATGTGTCCCCCCATGCCTTCTCCGAGACCTCGTCGATCTGCACGCACGTGGACCGTCTCGAGGTTTCGGGATCTACCGCGATCTACAGCGACGCGATCCACGTCGCTGTCACAGCGGAAACGGCTGATAATCGTGGAAACTTTTGCGCGTCACCGCGAATTCTGTTTTCCTCTTTATATCTCTTTTTCCTCTCTTTTTTTTTTTTATTTCGTTTTTTTTTTTCTCGTTGGTCATTCATTCGTTTTTTTTTTTCCTCTTTTTTTTCCTTTTTCCCCGTTCTTTTTTTTTTCGGTTAAATTTTCGCTCGTCGAAAAATACGTGCCGCGCGTGAAAACAATAATTCAATCTTTCCGTTCCGCGACAGAACGACAGGGCGATTTCGCGTGGACGCGCGAAATATTATTCGCCGGTGAAATAATAATTGGTTTATTAGGTGTTTGTCGATCGACGAATAAAATGTGGCCCGGCGCGCTATCGGTGCAAGACCATCCGTCGAAAACGTTCATTAAACGATCACGTCGGACGTCTTAATCGACGTCGCCGTTCCAATTTCTTTTCAGCCGAACGCTTCGCGTGTCCCGAAATATGATTTTTCGATTATTCCGTCATTTCTTACGCGAAACACGAGTCACGCTTCTGCACGCGAACGCCATTCGATCATCCTCGAATTATCGTGTCGCGCAGAAAAAACTCCATCGAATCGTACGCCACGAACGCGAATAAGTTTTTCTCTCTCTCTCTCTCTCACTCTCTTTCTCTCCTTTTCTTTTGTTTCTCTTTTAACATTTTTTTTTTTCACGCATTTTCCGACGCGTTTTTCTCGTCCGTTTGGGAAAGACCGGTGGGGACGTAGGGGGGTAGAAAAGCTCGTTCGTGCGAATGGGATTAAGATTCTTTCGGGCGTGGTTGATAGTTTTTTTTTTTTTTTTTTTTTTTTTTTTTTTTT